CAGGAGGCGCTACTTCACGGTCAGGGTGGTTAGGATCTGGAACCAACTTCCAAGAAAAGTGGTGCTGGCTTCTACCCTGGGGGTCTTTAAGAGGAGGTTAGATGAACACCTTGCTGGGGTCGTTTGACCCCAGTAATCTTTCCTGTCATGGCAGAGGGTCGTACTAGATGGTCTACTCAGGTCTCTTCTGACCCTAGAAACTATGAAACTATAAGTGTCTTTTCATTTGTAAACTAAGCAATTCATAAACAGAAGTCTTCAAGACAAAACAAATATGAAACTACCCACACTGTACACAGGTTAGCTTTCTGTGGAAAACCAGAAAAAATACTTATATTCAGAAGACAGTGATCTGATGTAGAAATCACAGTTGCAGGTTCATCTCTTTTTACAGCCCACACAACCTATGCCATAAAAGTACTATGGATAAGCCCATGGATAAACCAGATTGAAACATGAGACTAAATAGTAATGCTGCCTTCTGAACAGTGCTGATTTAAAGAAAAATCAAATCCAATTGAGAATAATGTGAACTGTGTGGTTCCTTTATTCCATCACAGGGAATATTCCTTCAAAGTTTTTCTCTCTCTCTGTTTTAACCACAACACAATCATGTTAATTGGTCACTTTCATGTTCCTTCCCAAATCACAGCCAATTAAACATAAACAAATGAGGATGTGGTAGATAAGTGGTCATTGCTTCTACTTGATGAGCTTTCTGTGTCTCTTTATGTAGCTGATCTTTGAAGTGGTAAGAACATTTTTTATTTTTTTTAAGTATTATCCTTTTTTATAGTTTCATAATTGGTAGGGTCAGAAGGGGACCTGAGCAGATTATCAAGTCTGGCCCCCTGACTTGGCAGGAAAGAGTACTGGAGTCAAATGAATTGCTTTTATGTAGTCCCACAAATGAACAGTCTAATTGAATATGACTATTTCATGATTTCTAAAGGCAAATTTTGGGTAAACTGTCAAGTTCTGAAAAATGACACAGATATCTGTAGCTGACTGAGTCTGGATCAGCATTTTGAATGTGCCTGGCAAACTGTTTGCTACCATGATACGGCAATATGTAAAACATCCACTGGATAATACATTTTTTTAAAATTACATTAATTTTCAAGGGAAGCATTTTAGTTGACTTTTCCCTAGTTTTTTGCCCAGTTAACAGAATATTCATACATAATCTGGAATACATCTTCACTTGGAGACTTTTCAAAATATTAATATTTTTTCTTTTTACTTGCCCTAGTTAATGTGTAGAATTTTAATATTAAGCTCCAAATCAGAAAACACAGCCCTGTTCAAGACAGCATGTAAGTACTTACTTAACTTTAAGCACATATTTTCCCACAAACAGAAATGGAATCTCTTAGGATAAATTGTATACTAGGGATAGCAGGCTAAAAAGGTGTAATATGACACCAATCTAGAATAATTTATTATTTTTTATTATTACATGGGGGGAAAAAGCAGTCATCTGTTTTTCTGATCTGATCATGGATCTGATCCTAAATGGCAATCAAATGAATGCAAATTTTGCTCAGGATCCAGCCTGACACACAAATCCAAGTGCTTAAGTCTCTCTGAAATGACCAGCAAAGCTTCTTCTAATTTCTGTAGAGAACTCTGGTGATATATTAGCCAATGTTATTGTACTTTACTTACTCTACAGTGGAATTTGAAGAGAGGAATTCAAAATATAAGTCAAAGTTACTTAAAAATATCCTACAAAACAAATCTGATAAGTGTAAAATACTTCAATACTTCCAACTTCTACTAACGCTTTATTTTTCAAAAATGTCTTTAGACCAGTAAGGTGCATATTCTCCATAGTTTATGTTGGAAAAGGTCAGTTCTCCCTACACATGACCTGCAAGAGTGAAGCCTCTGTTAAAAGTAAAGGGTAAGAGAAGAATGCCTTACCTGTAGCAATTGTTATTGTAGTTGTTGTAACTCCCCAAAGCTGTCAAGCATCCTAAGCAGATGGCATAGGAGAAAAATATTTGTGTACCAGCATCCACCCAGACCTGCAAGAAAAACACAGAGTGAATCAAAAGGAAAAAAAGGAACCATCTTTACGATTTCAGTGAACTTATAGTGTTGTAGGCAACTTTGTAAGATAATGATAAACATCTGTAAAACTGTTTAAATTATAAAAGAAACTCATAGGTTTGTTTCTTCTCTCAGACCTAGTGGTGTAAGCCAGGAATAGCTCAATTGTGGTCTGTGGACTTCACACATACTGAACAAGCATAAGAAGAGGAAACTCAGGGTTCTTCAAGCAGAACCTCAGCTTTCGTATATTCTCCATTCTCTTCAGTGAAGCTATGCTTTGTGACATCTTACGCTAGCTGAGGAGCTGTACCTTTTTCTTGTCTCTGCTGGATAGCTAGGTACTCAAGAAAAGGACTTTGACCTTAATTAAATAATTAAGAAGGACTCAAAAGGCAAAGTGTGGTTATGTGCAATCATGCAAGTTAAATTGTGAGTCTGATTCAAAAGCAGATACATTGTAATGGAATATTTGCCTAGTGTTGTCACCTAAGAAACTCCACAATGGACCAGGACTGGGTAGTTCTGGGGAGTATAAATGAAGAGAATAACAAAGCAGTCTCTGCCCCAACAAATTTACCTATTAATTAGCTCTATAAAGCCATTACCTTGATAACATTGATGTCTCCAATTTATGCAAGTATGAGTTGGAAGATAAACACCTTGGCTGTGATCAAACACGGGGACTACTCTGTCATTAATAATCTCCAAAAGTCAATGCTGCAAGACCTTCCTTGGGGGGAAAGCAGAAAAATGGTGTGTTTGTATTACTGATTCACACAGTGTCTGGTTGCATTGTTATTTGCCTCAAGTATCAAGTAATTTCTTCATTATGTGGACAATGGGAAAGTTGTACTCTTGCTTGCTTTTCAGTGTATAGATATTGTAAATGAGAAAGTAGATGAGAATGCTGACTCTTTTTTTGGAATATGTTTTAATAACTGAGGTGGTTTGCAGAGAAATACCAAAATCCACTGAGATGAAAACAAGAGACTCTGTCTAGTTTATGCTTAAAGTGAAAAAGGAACTAAACTATACTAAGATAAAGATTTTATGTACTAACCAAGTTAATCATAGTCATCAAAGGCAGAGAAATGCATACACATGCAGGGATATGTTTATTTGATATGTGACTGGAAGGTCTTGGTTTGTAGAGCTGTTGTAAGTTGGAAGAGATTATATTTAGAAATAGCATTAGGATCACATTTGATTTGCATCAGTGCTTTAAATGGTTTCATTGCTGTCATGCTGAATAAGATACAGATGATTACATCTCAACGTTTCACCACTTGGTAAGGAAAAAACTGTATAGGGAAAGCCTTTTGATAGACAGACTATTTAACAAGATTGGAAGCTCTCAGAAAGCTGAAAGTAGCATAGTTCAAACGAGAAAGCACTGTTTTCTTAAGTCTAAACAAAAACCAGGAAACTGGATCAGCAGACACAGAATCTAGTCATTACTATTTCCTTCCGTTTTAGTTTTTGCATATCACTATACAGTGCTTCCAGGTGCAATATCCCTTCCTGTTGGCATACACCAGCTGCACAATACCTTGACTGCTGAAGAGTACAAATAACAAAGGAGGGCAGGCAAGCATTGTATTAGGAAGTCAGAACCCACATAGCTATTTTTGAGATGGGGCAGGAAGCACATAACTCTGAAGATCAAACTAGGCCTCCACACCTAAGTACAGCATGCCACTCCCATGGAGCATAAGACAAGGTTTCTTTACAGAAACTTCAATTTTGTTTACTGTGACAGCAAAATACAGAGAGTAACAGTGAACATGTAGTCAACATAAATGTGATGGTGAACACTTTGAATGGAGAATCTCATGTAAGTCTCCATGTCCTCTGTGTCAAAATTGACCTAAATCCTGCAGCTAAACCGTTAGCTTTTGTGGCACTCAGTTGTAACAGTTTTTTTTGAAAAATGCCATAGTTTCAGGTAAATGTTAATCAAAGGGGTTCTTTTTGTCTTAACTGGTAAATTGAATAACAATTGGTAAGGTCTGCCTTCATTTATAGTATGACATTAACTTTAACATATATAATCCATTACTGTTGTATTCTTAATGTGTTCCCAAATGTGGAATTGGAGATAACTATCTGTATTGTGGAAGTTATAAATGGTGAAAGGAATGTAGGAACCTGGGGAGGACTCTGGTACCTATGCAGGCAAAGAGGCAAACGGGCTTTGGGCAGTAAGGATTAAAAGACTTAGACACCTTCACATTATTTGGCCTAACTTGTAGGTGCCTAGCCTTCTCAATGTGTCCCTATCATTGTTGATAGATTTTATATTAATCAACTAATGTACTGAAGGAAGAAAAAAGAAGAAAAAAAAATATAAATCTGGCAGAAAAGTACACAAACCGGGACACTTCCCTCCCAGGTGAGTGCCCTAATCACTGAGTTAAAGAGCTGTATTTCCTTTCCACACAACCACCCAGCTTTGGGGAGAAGGAAACTTTTCCAACCCAGGAGAGCATTAAGGAAACTCTCTTGGAAAATGGACAATGTGTTTGAACCCCCTCAGGCTGAAGAGGGCCCAAAATTTAGGTCTCCCACTTTCTGGGTATGTGCTCTAACCCAGTGTTTTTCAACCAGTAGAGCACATCCCACTGGTGGGACTTGAAGGTTGTGTAGGTGGGATTTCAACTCATTGCCTGACTGAAAACAAATCAAAGTTGTTTGCACACTTATAGAAATAAACATAAAAATGCAATTCTTGGAAAAAGTGGGGTTTTGTTTTTATCATGGTGGAACCAAGGTTTTTTGACAAAATGGTTGGTGGGACTCTTATAAGTTGAAAAAGGCTGAGAACCACTGCTCTAACCACTACCCTATTATAGAAAAGACGTGCAGCCTGGCAACCAATTTTTCTTCTCCAGTGCTGCATTTTGTAACGAAAATACTGCAACTGCAACTGCCCAATCATGTTAGCCTGTGTTTAGTGTCTTCCAAGCCTGTCTGTTGAACTGGGCCCCTCAGGGAACTGAGCACTGCTCTGCCTAATTTCTGTATCTGAACAAGGTGTAGGCAGGACCTAGGTGCCAACCATTCAGACCAGCAGTTCTGCAGAGGCAGAACTGCAGTTCCCAGGGAACTTTCAGGCCATGCTGCCCATGTTTACATGAGATGCTGACTGTGCAGTTATCACTTCATAGTAGCACCAAGGAACAGCTTTTTTGTGATGCTGAGTGGTAGCATAAGACTACTGTGCAGTAGCGCCATGTCATGCTCTGTCACACAACACTATTGCACAGTAGTCTCGGACTACTGTGTAGTCAGCGTCTTGTGTAGACACAGGCAGAGAGAGGCACCACTGAGTTTTAGGTGTCTATTAGGCCTGTGAGAAGTAGCTAGCATTCACTTTGGATTCAGATTTGGCTGACTGGGGGACAGTGACTCAATTCAGTGATTCGAATCACTGTCCCAAATCGATTCAGTCAAATCTGATTTGGAGATTGGGATGCTGCCAAATCAGCTGAATCTCCGAATCACACATGTCCCATTCCCCACCCGCTCTCCCAGCTCCGCCTGACCCCAGCTCCCGACTCCTTGAATAAAAAGCCCGCACTCACCAGCTGCTGCCAGGCAGGGGGGCCATCCCCACTGCCCCCTGCCACCTCCAGCTCTCTCTCCCCCGCCCCCTACTTACTAGCTCAGAGTCCCCCTACTCACCACTGCTCCCTGCTGCAGCAGGTGCGGACTGCCTAAATCACCGAAGCTCTCTGAATCTTTTCTGAATTGATTCAGACCTTTTAATGGTCCCCTGATTCGATTCGGAGATTCGGCCACTGAATCAGGCCAAATCTCCGCCAAATCAAATCAGCACCTGAAGCTTTGCACAGCCCTAGTGTCTTTCTCTATGGTTAAGCAAGGTTTCTCTCATTTGCAAGATCTGTTTAATCCTGCTTTAGGTGCTGAAGTTCTGTCTTGGATCTAGCCCTAAAGCACTGGCTAGCAGTGAAAAAGTTAATGATATCAACATTAAAGATTACCATAATCAGGTTTTGGAGGCAGCTGCCTTTGAAATGAATGGAGGCTATTTGTTCTGGGTGTCTCCCTTGGAATGGCAGCATTCCATAAATTTACATTTGCGTCATGTTTCTTTTTTAAGACTTTGCAACCTGAAGGTTAAAATATTTAATTTAAATGAAAGCCGTACCAGGAATGGATTGTGTTTCAGGTTCAGTAGATATAGAATCACAAGGACACACAGAAATGTGCCAAAAATAACTGCTAAAGATAAGATAGTAATTAACACTGGGTTGAATAAAAATCTGTTATAACAGTTATAACAACTAGATAAGAAATTCATCACTCTTAAACTGCAGTAAATATGCTTTAACTATAGGTAATGCTGGCTTTTGAATGAAAGTGTTGCAGCACGTACAACATGACCATGTCTTATAATAAGGTAAATAAATAAATAAATACAAGTCTTCTAGAAAGCTATTCAATATAGGTAATGTAACCAGGCACATGGCTGAGCTGTGGGAGCACAGCTTCAGGCAGTTAAAAGTGATAACCTGCCTGCTCAAGGGGGGCCAGCTGAGAGTGTTGACTTAGAAACGGTATTTAAAGGCTGCTGACAGTGAACACGTGGACATGTGACCACAGAGAGACAACCAACCAGTGACAGCCATGGATCAGAAGTCACCAGGAAAATAAAAAATACGAAAGAAGGAGTTTTAAAAACAGAAGAAGAAGCAGTTGGCATCAGCCCTGACCTCCAAGGCTGCTGATGGTGGACACTTAAGCAAAGGACCTCAAGGTGGCGTTTAAATAGTGGCTGGATGGACCGCTCGCCTTGTGTATATTCTGGGACTGGGGACTTCGGGTAATATATACTGTATTTGCTTTTCCTATATTGCTTTTATTTCCTATCACTGTATATCAAAAAACTTGCCTATTATCAACTGGCAGGTGTTGTGATCAATGTGGGGGTTGTGCTTGCCTGAAACAA